TGATTATGTTCATTTAAAGTAGAGGCTCAATAGCTAGCCATAAAAGCTCTAGAATAAGTGATAACACGGTAACGTTGTTTGGATAAGCCATAAACAGGCAGTGTTTTCCTGTCTGATGATGAGAACAAGACCAACATGCTGAAATAGAGGTAAACACTGGTGACATTTTACCTTTGCTTTAGTTTATGTTGCTAAAAATGAGAAGGAGTCAGTCCTTATAACAAACATTGCTATAATTTCCCATTGCTCTACTTTTACTGTTAAAAGAAATAAAATCCTTGTTTTCTCCTCTAAATTCAGTATTAACGACAGCTGGCATGAGTAAAACCTTTAATCCAACTTACTGGTCCTAACATATATCACCCTCTACATTCTCTATCAGTCCTGGTAAATTCTTTTTCTGCCAGATCTGAATGGGATATTAAGCTTTCTTTCATTTTTTTGGAAGGCATCTGAGAGAAATAAGCTTCTCAGTACACTGAGAATGACAAAACATACAGCTCTGCTTTTGTTATATAGCAGTTTGGATTCTTAGCTCACTAATCTGTGATTTTATACAAGCATGTCCCTAGCAGAGCTCACATGTCAGCTAACCTGCTGCCTTCAGATGTCCCCAGGACTCGCCTTTGAGCGAACGGTTTTCTGCTGTTTCCCCTACACTGGGAAATGATCTCCCACTAACCGTAAGGACCGTTGAAACCTTGACTCATGCTTAAAACTCTTTGAAAGATTAATCTGGTAAAGTTAGCTTTTAATTCTAGTTGAGCCAAAGTATCAAGCTGGTTTTATTTTATTTTGTTTTTGCTTTTATTGTTTTTTTTGTTTTTTAACTGCTGCTACTCTATTAATTTAACTATAGCTGTTGTATTTTATGGCTGGGTTTCGTTTTTATTGCATTGTTTCATGGGCCTGTGCTTACATTAATAATAACGTATCAGGTTTAGACGCCTTAGAACTCACCTCATCCCAGTATAAATACTTTTTACTACACGGCAACCTACAGGTTTGCATCACTGTAGAAATAGGGAATAATTTAACTTGTTAAACTTAACAACCTACTTTCTATTAAGATGGTGTTGAAGTTACCTCCATTTCTTCTGCTTTATCTGTTTTGTCTTGTTTGGGTCTAACCTGTTAAAAACCAAATTTTTGGTAAAAACAAAGTAGCTTCCCTTAACTCCTTCTTTAAAGAGGGCTTTACCTTAAAGAATTCTCATTTTAACTTTGTTTTTGTATAAGAAATGTCAGATGTTTGTTTCTTTGGCATCAGATCTAATTTCATGCTCTCATTGTTAGGTTTTTTTTTTAACGTGTGGATGTTTATCACAGGATCCTTTTTTAAAAGTAAATCATCATTTGAACCTCATCAGTCTTCTCTTTCTGTTGAAGTTCTCTTTGATGAAGCTCCCGTCCCTCCTCTGCCCTCCCCTGCTGTCATTCAGTTTCTGTCTTATTTGCATAGGCTTCCAGGTCTGTTCTGCCATTAACCTTCATCCTTGAAAAGTGTCGGAGCTCCCTCCCACCTTGGCTCCAAACTGACTCCACATCATCGCCTCTCTCCACCCACTGTCTGTTTTTATTCCCCTTCCTGCCCCTCATCGCACCGTGTTGTCTCCCCACTGTGTGAACTGTTGGCTGACGGGCTCCTGCAGGGCAGCATGAAATTTTCTGAGTCTCGCGCCCCGAGAAGAGAGCGGCTCTAATTTGATTCAAGGTGAAGCAAGTTGAGTCGGTGTACAAGAGCTTCATCAGACGATACAAACTTAAAAAAATGCTCCCTTTTCTTCTGAGTTCACCCTCTCTCTATTGCTTCTGGGAGAAGTTGGGCAGCTCCTCGCTGTCTATAAAGCAGAAAACATCTGGGGGAAGCAGTCTTTGAAATCTCTACCAGATCGACTGACTCAGCAGGCTTTTACAGCAAGGCTATGTTGCCTTTGCACAGCAGCAAAGCTCTGAAAAAAATGCATTTTAATGCAACTGTAAGCCACGACCTTGCAGGTTTAAAAGCATGTTTCAGGGTTTAAAGTTGTCATGTTCTCTATTGTGCTCCCGGCTCCTTGGAAGCCCTGCGGCACATGAATCACGTTAAAAGTCATCACTGCTCATGTAATTACTTAAATGGTAGCATGAAGGTCAGGAAAACTTATTAACATGTCATAATAGCTCGGTGTCACAGTAATTATGAGCATCCTGTAGCTTTTCTCAGCTTTTTTAGCTTCTATGAAGCCTCACTGAGCCTGTTGTGTAACCCCATACTGCCTCCAGATGTTTGTCCAGAAAAATGCTCCGGTTTAACTGATTTTTCTTTCATGTCACACAGCATGGATAACTTCAAGTACCTTGTAAATGCGTTCTATTCATCTATCACTTGAAATATTTTCACATTCTGACATTTTTTTCAGGTCACGACCGCAAATAACTGTGTGTTATTGACATTTTTTAATAGAACATAATAAAATAATGTACTTGCGTTGTGGAAAAAAGAATTGGTTAAAAAAATATTTGCAGAGTAATCTTTTGCTGCAGGGTGTAGCTAGAAGGTTAGCCTTTGTAGTATCGTGGGACCCACGCACAGCAACTCGTATGAGAAACACCTTCTATGTTGGGGAGGTGTTAGGATTGGGCGTCAGTTAGAAGACAAATAACTTTTTCATGTTCTAAGTTTAAAAAAATATATATTTTAACTTGAGGTTTTTAATCAATTAGTTTTTTTTTTAACCTTTGTCTGATCATTGTTTTTACCATTACAGGGCTTAGATCCTTATCGTTTCTGGACGCTCTCATGTTGCCAGTATCAAACACAAGCCTCTCATTTTAATGAGGGAGCAAAACCGTTTTGCACTTCTTTAAATTTGCACAGCAGTTTTGTAGACTAGTTGCAACATGTCTACTTGTTGCAAGTGCAAAAAACAAAAACAAAAAACAAATAAATAAAAATAGCAGGGGCAATTTAGTGTCCCATTTTCGAATCTTTGAATATCAGTCCCAAAGAGTTTTAGTCCTTATTTATTTATTTATTTTAAGTGCAGTAGGATTGGATGGAGATAATCTGTGAACACTGATGTTTACGTTTAGCTAAAGATTATTCAATTGGATTAAGGTCTGGACTCTGATTGCACCGTTCTAAAACACAAATGCTGGTTGAATGTTTAAGGTTACCTCTTAAAAGGTTCACCTTCCACTACTGTTTAAAAGGATTTTTTCTGTGTTTAGCTCCATCCATTTTATCCTCACCTTCCAACATCTTCCCTGTGCTTTCTGATATCCATCCCATCATAATATTGTTGCTATTTTTTGTCCGCCTGGGTTTATGATCTAGGTTGGTGTTCCTCCATGAATGATGTGCAGCATGCCTTTGAACAGCTTCCGTTTTGGGTTCATAGAACTAGAACAATAAATGTTTTAGATTTTTTTTGTTTCTTTTTAACCACCACCATATGTTGAATTACAACCCTCTTCATAATATCTGTGCAAGTTTTGCAAACCGAAAAGTATTTCATAGATAATTGTATCTCAATATTATTTATGGCAAATTAAACTGCAGCTCCTCCAAAGCCACCATTAGCCCCCCTGTAGGTAGAGTAGCTCTTTCTACTCTCAGGTTTTTGATGCATGTCCAGCAGATTTCTCGAAGCAGCTTCTTCCCCAACACCATCAGACAGCTGAACTGTTCAGAAAATTCTAAATCATGTCATTGACTCTGCAACACACTGATAACACCAATCCAAAATACTGCATATTTGCACCATACATATTTAATGTTCTGAACTTCCATATTAATGCGTTTTTTTTGCATCATCTATTTTTCTCCCACACTGTTTACATTTGATCACTGCTGCACTTTAAGGAATGGAAATGTTATGAAAGCTGGACAAAACGAAATGTCGTTTTGTATACACTGTATACAAAATGACAATTAAAGTTGTCTTAAGTTTTCACATTAATAGAAGATGATCAATGCTTGGCATATTATTTGAATCTTACTCTGCCGCTGCTGGATTCATGCTGAGCTTAAGGGTATAGTGGAGAATTTTTGCAGATTTTTTTAAAAGATCCGCCCTCTCCACTTAAAAGAAAAAAGCACATGCACAGCCCTGTACTGGCTCCTGAGAGGGAACACCTATTAAACACGTGCAAGACCATGCAGGAGCCCATTTCTCCTCATGCATGCTCTGTTTAAAAGTTGCTGTTCTTATAGCTTATACAAGCTTTCTGTGTTCGAACGTCCGCCCTAACCACTAAATCCCTCAGTCACTATATAGAGCTGGGACTATATAGTGGACTTTCTAGCAAACTCAGTTATATCTAAATCTACCGACTGGATTTTATTTAGGGGTACCAATGAATATACCGTAATGGAGCTGAATGCACCAATAAACTATGAGTTGTTTTCTTCCCTGTTGCTGATGCACAGCTTTGTGTTGGTCGATCATAAACAAAATAGATTTTATGTTTGTTGGCATCATCTTTACTTTGGCATGGTACCCAATGCATAAAATAATGGCATGTTATAGTTTTTCCTTGCCTGGTTTTTATGATCGACAAACAACTGGTGCGAGGAAAAATAAAAATATTGTGACTGGATAATTTAATACTTCTGACAACCATTTATTTAAGAAATAAAACATGTTTTGTTTACTCTGGATAATTGTTGACAGTCCAGCCTGGATGGATATTCTCCCCCCTGTTATTTAGTTTAGTAGTTTTTTTTTTATCTGTACATTGATCATCTATCTGTCCATCAGGCTGTTTGTGACCCAGACCACTTTCGGAATCCTCTGATCTTTGTTTAGGTGCCCCATGTCTGTGCACGCTCAGACCGCGTCTCGCTCTTTACCCCCTGAAGAGCTTACATGTGGTAAACACAGAGATCTTCTGACAGTCCAGCCGTCGATACGCCGCTATGCTTTGCTTTTGATATTGACAGGTTGTGTGCTGAATCTCAATAAGCTGCTCTGTCCCCTCTTATCTCAAAGATTTGCTCTGTGTGTTTTTTGTAGAGTATGAGGACGGCAGCCTGTCATCATGGGTGAACAGGGAGCGCTTTCAAGGATACCTTCAGATTGATGGCTTCACGTTGTATGAGCTTGGAGACACAGGTGGCGTATTCCAATTTGATACACAATATGTTTGATTTCTCGTGTTTTGCTTTGTCTTTTTGTTTGTGTGTGTGTGTGTTTTTAAAGAACATTATTTTGAAACAAAAAACATCTTCCTGACATAAACATAAAGCATTAAGAGAGAGATTTCCAGCCTAACCCCACATTTTTATTTTCAGTGTTGCAAATTGTGACACTAAAATAAGTAAATTTAAGATGTCCAGATCACATGTTAACATCCACTAATGGGCCTGAATCTCTTATGCATTTACTTTTAATGGTCCATTTGATTTGCATTGTCTCGCTTATAGAATCAGTTTTCTTCTTAAAACTATAAGTGGATACATGTTTTAGTCATTTGTTGTAAATAGATACTTTCATACTCGTGTATATATATATATATATAGATAAAAATAATTTCGTTTTTTTTTCTGGCCACAATTCTTGGTGGAACCGATAGAGATTGATTGAAATACATTTTTTTTTCAAGGTAGTTGCTGAATTTTAAATATAAGTTTTCAGCAAGGTAGAGTTTGGGGTTTTAGGGTTAGCTCTTCAGAAGCTTAGCTTTGGTCACCTTTATCCATTACTCAACCAGATCTGACGTGTGTTTGGGATCATCGTCTTGTTAGAACATCCTGCTTGTCCTAATTCTGCATTTTATATCCCCCTATTTATGGAGTTTGTCAATAATTGGGATTGAAACGTCCAGACAACATGATACTGCCACCACCGTGCCTAGTAAATACTGCAGGGTTCTTTGGTTTGAAAACCTTAGAATAAAACTTTCAAAGCCTGGAGATGGGGCTTTATTTTGCTGCTTCATAGTCTCTGTATGGAGTTTGCATGTTCTCCCTGAGCATGTGTTGGTTCTCTCTGGGTACTCCGGCTTCCTCCCACAGTCCAAAAACGTGTGTGTGTGTTCATGGTTGAATGCACACAAATGCAACCCTGTGCTGTGCAAGTATGTCTTTGCGTCTCTCTCTGTGTTGCCCTGCGACCGATATTTATTCAAACATCTAACCCACAGTTATGCAGTAAGCTTGTTGACAATGCTTATGAGTCATAAAAGTTTGTGGTTTAATTGTTCTAACTTGAAAATAAATAATTTAAACTCTAAATTAATCACATCTGTGCTCATAAAAATGTAAAACTTCAGCCTGGCACTGCACATTTATTATATTTTAGTAAAACATTATTGCCAGAGGAAATGGACATCTACTTTTTTCCATTTTTATTTCTTTTCTGCTTTATATTTTGAGCCATAGCTGTGGGTTTTTTATTGCCTTTTCCATGCATATAGATCCTTTTTACAACCAAATATGCTAGTAAGCATTTTTAAACTGCATATTAAATCACAAGCATAAATCATTCGAAGCGTCTCAGCAAAGTGTTATTATGTAAAGAACGGCCTAATGTTTAGCAGCCCCGCCCTCAAACTCGTAGTTTGCTACAGGGCAACTTTAAAATTAAAGGTCAAACATCTTAGAGCTGCTGCTCTCAGGAGCATGGTCAGCTTCGGTTGTACTTTTGCGGCTATTTCTGCTCTCAGAGTGAAAGAATCTCTTTGCCCTCCAGAAATAGCAGGATTTGTTATTCTTGTTTAAAAACCTTGTAAAGGTAATTTAAGCTTAAGAGCGAAATGCAAACTGCCTCTTAAACAGCAGTAAACTGATGCTCAGCGCAGGAAATTGGTACTTCTCTAATATTAGATACAGTTTTTTTTCCTTTATAGGCTTTTCACTGACAACATTACAGCAGCTGATGTTACCGGATACTGTGGCTGCATTCCAGCAAGCTGTGCAGTTTGATCTGCCAGCTTTTCTATACATTTAACTTTACAAAGTTAAGAAGGTTCCAGGAAAATATTCCCGCTGGTGTCCAGCTATAATAATAAAAGGAACAATAATCTGTAAACTTATTTAGTCATTATTTATATCTTTATGTTTTACCTTCATTAAACAATAATTCAAATGTTTGTATTCTTTCTCTTTAATTCTATATGTTTAAATATCAAAAATATCCATCACAGGCCTCATGATTCTTACCATATTGTGCACTGAAATAGCACAAAGTTGTTTTATAGCTGAACACAACTTTAAAAATGTATCTTCAAAACAAGTAGGGCTTCCAGTTGTCACTAGGACAATGGTATTTGGGATCTTTAAGGTTTGTCATGCAGCTACAGTGGTCAAAGAAACTGTTGACTAAAGAAAAAAACTTTGTTAGGATATAGATTTCTCCACAGCGCTAAGCTTTCAAGCTTGCTATGAGCTTAAGTAAATTGCTTACCTGCAAAATCTAATTGTGGTTGAAGAAAATGCTGCTAAGATTTGGATCTTGAACTCTTTAATCAATGTTGACAGCTCCATTTGCTGTTTACTGTTGTGCGGTGCTCTTTATTGGGTTGGATGACTCAATTTTAAAGAAGCGATACAAAGTAAAGCCACATGAGACGTTGGCTTGACCTACAGCAGCCCTGGAAGACTCCAGGTCTACACATAGCCAGTAGAAATGTTCTGTGGTTTGCCATTGCGTGGCACCATGAGTAGGATAAACCCAGACATTTGGTCAGGCTGAATTCAACTTCATTTAAAAGACTTAAAAGTTTGACCCACATCTATAGTTTCCGACAGAAGTTATGGTCACGTCCTGTTCTTAGTGGGCTGGGCTACACTTATCTCTTGAAATTACCATGCCAAATAGGTCTTTGGTGCATCAAAAGGCACAAAAAGTTAGAGCACAATGAGTCAGAGAGATTTGACTGTTTAGTACACTTTAATCCAACAGAGCTTTTCATATCGTTCCAAGGATCTCTCATTTCCTGTTTGAAGTAAAATATTTCAAGCATATTCCATTTAAAAGCAAATGTGTGCAACTGGAGGGACGTGCCCATTCACCACTCTGCCACACCCATAAGATTCAGTGGGAAGTCATTTTTCTGAGAGGGATTCATCTTACCTTGTTCTCTGTCATCAGACACAAATTAAAACTCTCATAAGTGACAAAGTTAAGGAGAGAATCCACATCAGTAAAACATGAGAAGGGGTTTAAGTGATTCCATCAAACGAGCATGTGTACGTGTTGCAAGCCGGTCTAAGATGACACACAGGGACTATGGTACAGCTCTGACTTTGTGTTTAGAGATTATAACTCCCTGCTTGGTGCTTGGCAGTGCCTGCATGCTTTGATGCAGTAAAAATGGTTTAAGAACTTTTGACCCCAATGCCTGAAGTTTATCCCAAGTCATTTGAAAGTCTTTAAATCCAAAGCTGTGAAAGTTTGCTTAGATAGGACACGAGTAAAGGAGTTAAGATGGCTGCTTTGATCCAAAATGGCTGACTTCTTGTGGGATTTGGACCATTTTGACCAACACTTTCATTAGTGCTGTTTCACACTTGTTAGGCAACTACTTTATCAAAAATTACAGATAAGAGAGAAGATTGGATATAGGTCTATAATTGACCAAGTCATCTGGGTCAAGAGACAGTTTCTTAAAGATTTAATTACAGCTTCTTTAAAAGCCTGAGGTACATATCCCTGTAACACATATAGATTGGTCACATCTAAAATGGAGGAGGAAATCAAAAGGAATGCTTAAATAACCTGGTTGGAACTGGATCTAACACACAAGTTGAAGGGTTAGATGAAGACAATAGCTGTATTAATTCTCAAAGTTCTACTGATCAAAGCAGTCTAAACCCGCTTCAGATTCTATTGCTACCTCAGATGCTGCCTCCCATTTCAGAGATAAGCCAATCATAGTTAGAGGGGCGCTGATGATCTTATATTTAATAGAATCTATCCCTTTTTTATTAAGAATCTCATTAAATCATTCCTGCTAAGAGCAGGTGGGATCGGTGGTTCAACAGAGCTCTTAGTGAGTTATGCAACTACCGGTATATAAAAAATATATCCAGGATTGTTGTTACTCTCCTCTATCAATGAGGAGGAGCACCGATGCTCTTTCCAAATAACATGATGAAAATGAACAAATTGCACTCAATCATGAACATATTAGACTTTTATAATCTCTGCTTCAACTCTCCCACATATCGTCTGCATGGGGGGTATTATCTGCTAGATTTATTATCGAACGTCTAATTTATTTGTTGTGGCTTCGTCTCCAACCTGGCTACAGACATTTACTCTCTTCCACTCCTTAGAGTAACTGTGTCTCTATAGCCTGCTCAGCATCTTTCCATTCTTTTTACCAGCCTTTGGTCATTTAGCCTTGCAACATCAGTGAAGTTTTACTTTTATCTTAACAAAAGGGATATTTTCTGCTTCAATTACTATTAGATTTTAGGGAGATGAAATACAACGTTAGAGTTTTACCTTAAATCGTTAAAGTTCAGAAGGAAAACTATGATTAATAGGGAGGTAAAAAGGCCTCTTATATTTAACGACCAAGGTATTTCTAGGCCTAAGTAATTTTATATATAAAGATATAACTTTATTAATGCAACACCTTATTTATTTATAAACATAGGCCTCTGCAATGTGTTGGCTCCTGGCACCTCATCCTTATGCTGGTCACCAGCTTGGTTTCACACACTGTAAGGTGGCCACTGATGTGAATCCCACAAGCGTTTAGTGGGGTTTAGATCAGAACGCCAGTCTTTCCAATACTCCTTGTTTATTTCCAGCAGCAGAGAGTTTCTGCCTAAACTGCATCTCATTACCTCCATCATAACTTGGTTTGCTCTCACAAAGAGGATTTGGCAAGTTATATATATGCTTTACTCTGCCACTCAACCCACAACTGCATTTTTGCTGCAAAGGTGTCACCATTTTGAGAGAGAAAAAGCAGACTTTCAGTGATAAAAGGCTCAATACCAATAGGGAATGAAACAACAAAGAATAACATCCAAGATATGTTTTTGTGGCAAATAAATAATAGTGTGAATATATATATACATAGACATATATGAATTATACATTTTTTAAATTTATTTTTAATAAATTAATATATATATGATATTCTTCAGGCCATTTGAAGTTTCTTTCTTTTTCATCTTGGCCAGACTTTCTGCCTTTTAAACCTTTGCTTTAACACCTTAATTGGATAAACAATGTGTGACTGTTTAAGAATTTGAGGTTTTCATTCAAGCGAATATCTGAAGGAAGTTTAAACGAAAAAAGGAGTTGGCAGGAGCCCTGTTGCTGGAATCTTTTCAACCGAGGATCACATTTCATGGACTGCAGCTCAGTGGAGCTGCTGGGATGACATTTTATGCTTGAAACCAACCCCCCCTCGCCTCCCACACATCATAAGTCATACTGACACAGAACTCAGTACCCACATCTAAATACTTGCATGACCCAAAAAATCAATAAAGCGCCTGAAACTGTAATTAAGGTTTATTTAAGTGCCAGGATTTAAAGGACAGAGAGGCAGGCAGGGAGATGAATCGGTTGCATATTGAAAGCAAAATGTGTTTGGCGATATTAAAAAGCACTTCCTGCTTTATGTTGTCGTGCTCTGGAATATTGGAAGTTTATTCTTCAGAAGCGGAGAAAACCACAATAACAAAACAAGATGATTGGAAAAGAGTAATCTGTATGCACACATCAGTTTTTTATTTGCTCTTGTTTTCCTACACATACATATCACACTAGCTGCATATAAAATTTGGATGTGAGTATTAAACAGTTAATCATCAGCTGGGTAAACATTACAGTTACTAAACCAGTGGATTAAAGAGTGAGCTGGCTGTAGTTCCTGAAAATGCTCCAGCAGATTGAAGGCGAAACGCCATGAGTCTCAGATAAATGTATTAAATTAGATGACATCACAGCAGACAATATTTTAACTTGATGGACTAGAGCATTTCTAAGTTATTCAGAAATTCTCTCTGCATCAGAACATGAGGCATGATTTAATTCTCATCCAGAAGCTTTGATGTGAGAGATGATCCCAGCTGGGGCTTTAAGAATGCGAAACACTTTTGGTCCATTTGAGACAGTGATCAAGTTATAATGATGGAGGAGCTGCAATTGATTGTCAGTTTTAAACATTATCCCAGAAGAAAAAAATGATGGTTTTATGTTAGCATTTGCTCTCTATCACTGGGTCAAAATAACTCCAGATATCTCGCAGAGGAACTTGACAGAGTACTGAAAAACTACTAAGTAATAATAAATCTCTGAATATGATTTTGGCAGTGGCATATTTTACATAAATCACCAAAGGAGTGGATTATCAATTTCTAAAGCAGGATTTAAACTTAACCGAATTTTAGATCTAAGTAGGATTTACTGTTCAAAAGAAAGGAGGAAAAAAGCAATAGAAGAAACATCTTGACTTGCCACTACTGTGGTACAATTAAAGCAGCATTTTATAAAGTCTGGAGACATGAAGATCAAAAGGCTGGAGGAAGCTCTGTCTAGTTGGGAGTGTGATCCGGTCTTTGTAATAAATCTAATCCCTTCTCTGAGTGACATATTCGCAGATACGGCTATGTCAAATAGAGCTGTTGTTCATTACCAATGTCCTTCGTATTCCATGCATAAAAATAGGCTCAAAATTATTCATACCCTTTGCAGATTGGGATTTAAATTTTCAACCTTGTTTTGTTTTCTTTCTTTGTTTCTTTCTTTTCAAAGTTTTTTTTAATACATACATACATACATATATATATATATATATATATATATATATATATATATATATATATATATAATATACGGTATATGGGGTGTGATGCTCCCTAGGCGCTAAACAATGGCAGTGGATTTAACCATTTAACACTGGTTAAATGCAGAGAGTTAATTTCCCCATTGTGGGACAATATATATACATATATAGGAAATGAGGCAGGCATCCAGGAGTAGAGGTGAGTATTGGCACGAGTGTTGCGATTCGATACATGTCACGATACTTGGGTCACGATACGATATTATCACGATATTGCAGTATCACTATATATTACCATATTTTCCCCAGCTATCAAAATCAAATGATGAGATAAAACAGCAAGTGCTGTATATTTTTATCAGAAAATATTGATTAGGTATTATTATC